TTTTCTGTTAGCAAAAGGTCAGCAGATGGCTTTAAAGAGCTTTGGAATAGCTTTATAACCTCATCTGGGTGGCTCAGTTGGTTAAGCGACTGCCTTCGGCTCAGGTCATGATCCTGGAGTCCCGGGATCGAGTCCCGCATCGGGCTTCCTGCTCAGTAGGGAGTCTGCTTCTCCCTCTGACCCTCCTCCCTCTCATGCTCTCTCTCATTCTCTCTCTCTCAAATAAATAAATAAAATCTTAAAAAAATGGTTAACATGATAAATTTTATGTTATGTATATTTTATCTCAACAACAAAAAAAGATGTCCAGATTCTAATGTACAGCCAGGTTTGAGATCCTCTGTCAGCGGAAGGGCACAGAAGGGTATATGTGAAACTTTGGCGACCTTACCAATTATAAGTTAATAATGGGTTTTACTAGTGCCAACAGACCAGGTCTTTCTCATAATGAAAGGACAATAGCTCAGGTATTGATGGCCCATAAAAAAGTTGAATGTACCATCTCTGAGAAAGACACCAAGTTTCAAAAATTAGTATCTGTATATAAATCAGTTACATGTATTAGATGTTGTTTGTATTTTGATTCAAACAAGCTGAAAAATTTTTAGTTGGCATTTATGGAACATTTATTCAAATTGAAAATTCAAACACATTGGATATTCAATATTAAGGAATGGTTATTAAAAAATTTTAGCTGTGATGATGGCACTGTGGTTTAAAATCCTTAATCTTGGGGTGCTTGGGTGGCTCCGTCATGGAGAATGTGACGCTTGATCTTGGGGATGTAAGTTCCAGCCCCACGTTGGGTGTACGGATTACTTTAAAAAATCTTTACAGGGCGCCTGGGTGGTGAAGCGACTGCCTTCGGCTCAGGTCATGATCCTGGAGTCCCGGGATCGAGTCCCACATCGGGCTCCCTGCTCAGCGGGGAGTCTGCTTCTCCCTCTTCCCTCTCGTGCTCTCTATCTCTCATTCTCTCTCTCAAATAAATAAATAAAATCTTTTAAAAAAATCTTTCCAAAAAATAAAATCCTTAATCTTTTAGAGTATCATACTGAAACAGTTCAGATGACATTCTATCATGTATGAGATTTGCTTCAAAATAATAAGGATGGAGAATCAGTCATGAGTTGAAATTGTTCAAGTTGAGTAGTGGGTTCATGGAGAGTCTATAAACTGTATTTACTTTTGTATTTGTTTGACATTTTCCATAATGAGTTTTTCTTTAAAGCATATAAAAGAGAAAGAGAAAAAGAAAAAGAAAAAACCACAATGGGAAAACCTCAAAACCACAAAAATCACACTCATTTGGATAGCTACTGTTAAAAAAAAAAAACAAAACAAAACCAGAAAATAGCAAATGTTGATGAAGATATGGAGAAATTGAAACCCTTGTGCACGGTTGGTAGAAATGTAAAAT